CTCCTGCCTCAGCCTCCTGAGCCTTGGCCACTGCAGGGCCGTGCCATCCTGAGCTTGTCAGCCACTTCCCTCCCGGAGCCCATGTGCCCCGGGGACAAGGCAGGACGGGCTGCTCCCTGACCTCTGAACAGATCGCGGTCCCTGAGTGTGGGTGTGTGGAGGGAGCCCAGGGCCTCGTGCTTGCTGGTGTCTCACTGAGCCGTGCCCGGCCTCTGTCAGCCCTGCCGCTGACCGCCCACTGCTCCCCTCACACTGGCGGTGGGGGCTTTAATAGGTCCCCAACCTCTTCGATGGCCCTCTGTCAAAAAGTGGACATGAATTCCCCTGGGGCACGCAGAGCACGGCAGAAGTGACCGCGTGTGACTTGGAGACAGACTCCCGCGGGGAGCTGTGGCGCCCTCCTTTCTCACTGGCCATTGGCTCTGCCGGTCACCTGTCACATGGACACTTGGGTGGCTCTGTGGAGAGGTCCATGTGGCGAGGACCTGGGCGTCCCTGCAGAGCCCTGTGAGCCAGCCAAGAAGGGCCCCCGGAGGCCAGCAGCCCAGGTGCCACCTCGACTGTGACCTCAGGGCAGCTGTGGAGCCGCAGCCCCCCGCCCAGCCACCCCCAGACCCTCAGGAAGTGCTGAGGTTTGGCGTGACGTGTGACACACCAGTGGGTAACTAACAGAGTCACTTGATGTAGGTTCTGTTCCCGGGTAGGGCAGGCCTCATCCCTATGACCACCAGTGTTTATTGAGCACCTACTGTGCGCCAGGAGCACTGAGGGACACACAAGAGGGAAGAGAAGAGACTAAACTCCTGTCTTGTGAGGAAGAGGGACAATGAACAAGAAAGAAATCCGGATGTCACCTTGAGGGGTGTGTGAAACAAATGCTGTGAAGAACAAAGCCAGACATCTCTGGGGGTTCGGTGGCCCCTCCAGGGTGATGTTGGAGCAGAGGCCTGAACGCAGTGTTGCAGGAATCTGGGGGAACAGCCTTCCAGGCAGAGGGAATGGCCAGTGCAAAGGCCCTGAGGCAGGAGTTGGGTTTATTCAAACAAGAGCCAGGAGGCCCGTGTGGGCGCAGTGTCCCAGACCGGACAGGGTGGCAGGCCTTTAGCATCTGGACTGGAGGTGATCAGGAAACGAGACCTCACCTCTGGAGCCTCAGCTTCCTCTTCTGAGGAATGGGCACACGGGCACCTCGTTCTGAGGCTGTTGTGGGGACTCAGGGAGCTTCTGCCTGTGGTTAGCAGCACAGGTCAAGCCCTTTGGAGACCCTGCTGCTGGGCAGCTTTTGCGGGAAGGGATGCCCTCTCTGTGCTCAACACCTTTTACCGGAACGGGCTGAAGCGGCCCAGACTCCCCCTTGGTTCCCTGGTGCCAGGTCCCTCTTCCTCTTCCTCCTCCTCTCCTCTGCCCCTCCCCTTGCTCAGTCCTGAATCAACTTTCCCGTGGGGGGAGGAAAACAGGGCAGGCTTCCTTCCTCTCCTGGGCGGGCTCCAGAGAGGGACCGGGCCATTGTGTGTGCTGGCCTCAAGGTCATTCCTGTCCCCTTCCCACCAGGCACTTGAGGACAGGCCGGCGGGGAAGCAGGGGATGGCCGTGGGGGGGCTGAGAGGCCGAGGCCATAGGGCTGGCCTCTGGCCTTGTGGCTTCCCGGGGAGAAGGAGCTGCCCGGCCTCCCCCGGCCAGGAGGGCCCTAGCAGCAGACCCCGGTGGGAGGCCGCCGTCAGTCCCGGCCTGGCTCCTGCCCGACTGAGCCAAACCCTGGCTGGTCCCAGGTCCCTTCTCTCCTTGGAACCTCATTTTTCTTCTTTCCCCCGACTCAGCCCTTACATTAAGCTCCTTTCAACTCCCAGGAGCCGAAAATCACCAGAGAGCCGAGCGGTGGCCCCGCCTGTGATCCCAGCCACTCGGGAGGCTGAGGCAGGAGGATCACAAGTTCAAAGCCAGCCTCAGCGACTTAGCGAGCCCCTGTCTCAAAAAATACAAAGGGCTGGGAGGCGGCTCAGTGGTCACACGCGCCCTGGGTTCAAAAAAAAAAAAATAAGAACAAAACCAGTCGCTGGAGTCGGCCTCCACCCTCGCATCCTCTGCCTCAGCCTCCCGGTGGCTGGGTGGACACAGCAGGTCTTCTGGGGAAGACGTCGAGAGCCAGCAGAGCTTCTGCTGCGATCCCCTCTCCTGAACCTGTGGGGGCTCCCAGCGACACCAGAAGCCGGGACGTGTCACTTCTTATCACTTGTCAATTCCTCTGTCCCAGGGCAAAGGGCCCAACTCCCACAGCTTAGGGCCTCACTAAGTGGCTGAGTCTGGCCTTGAACTCGCGATCCTCCTGCCTCAGCCTTCCGAGTCGCTGGGGTTATGGGTGTGCGCCCCTGCTCCCAGTTATTTTGTGGTGCTTGCTGCTCTTTCCTGGACTGTAAGGAGGGGTTGGACTGCTGGGAGGATTCAGTAGAAGGAGCCCAGAGATACCCGAGGGACGGGAGACTGGGTCCTGGGGACATCTGAGCCTCTGCCCCTGAGGATATGGAATCTGCTTGACCTAGAAACATAAGCAGCCCCCCCGCCCCTCCTTCTGGCCTCCTTCTGCAGGGATCACACACAACCCCCTGGGAGCGCCCGGTTCCTGATGAAGCTTTGGCTCCCACCCTTGGGATGTAAGCGAGAAAGGCCATTTTGTCCATCTGGGGAGGCAGGAGCTCTAAGGCCGGCAGGACAGAGCTTGCCAAGGGCTCACCTGGGGCTCACCTGGGGCTCGCGGGCTCTGCCATCCTTAAAACCAGAACCCTGAGGTTCCTCAGGGCAGCAACAGGACTGTCCTTCCCAGGCTCCCTTGCAGTAGGGCCATCGTGTGACTAAGAGCTGACCAATGAGACATAGGTCACAGTTGGTCCGTGGGACTTTGGAGAAAGTGCCTTAGAAGGGCGTCTCCCATAAACGAGCTTGAGGCTGATTTTCCCCTTTGTGCCCTTCTTTCTATTTCTTGCCTGGAACACAGTGAGACCTCTGCAGCTCCTGCAGCCATTTTGGACCATGAGGTGATTGAGCGAATAGAAGCCTCAAGCTAAGGAAGATGGAGCAGGTAGAACTCTCTGGGGACTCCACTCCAGCTCTGAATAATCTCTTTCTGGACATTTTTTATGCACAAGAAAAATGACATTTTAGAGACAGGGTCTCACTAAGTTATGCAGGGCCTCTCTAAGTTGCTGAGCCTGGCTTGTGATCCTCCTGCCTCAGCCTCCGGAGCTGTTGGGATGCTTTTATCTTTTTTTTTTTTTAAACTCTTCCCTCTTTTCTTCCCCTGATTTATTTTATGAACTTTGATTTATGAACTTTTCCACTTTCTTCAGTGGAAAACTTGTTTTGTCATTTCCAAGCTTCCCTCCTCCCCCACCTCAGTACTCTTGGTGCCTTAAAGCAGTTAAGCTATGATTTTCTGTCCAAGGGTGGCCTTAGTCAGATGCCACGGATTTTGATATGTAGCGTTTCGACTCTCTTGTTTCTTGTTGACATCTTACATCTTAATGGTCTCTGTAATCCAAGTATCATACTTTGGAAATTTTTTTTCATGTGGATAGAATTTTGGTGGGGGAGGGAGGAGTCTATAGCTTCTGAATTGAAATCTACATTTGGTTCTTTTCTAGTTTAAATAACACAGTCACCTGCCACTTGAACTCAGCCTTTGAAGAAAGGGCTCTGAGGCTTTAAAAAACAGGTTGGAGACTGGGCATGGTGGGGTACGCCTGTGATCCCAGTGACTCAGGAGGCTGAGGCAGGAGGATAACAAGTTTGAGGCCAACCTCAGCAACACAGCGAGGGCCTAAGCAACTCAGCGAGATTCTGTCTGAAAATAAAAAAGCAGAAAGGGCTTCGATGGAGCTCAGTGGTAAGAAACCCCTGGGTCCCCGGGACCCCAAAATAAATAATTAAGTAAATAAAAAGTAAACCAGCCTGTCCCGGCCTGTGGGTTTTACCGAACACTGTCCCTGCTCAAGGGCCATCCCCAGAACAACCCCCCCCTCTCTGCCCCGCGCCTTCCTGTGCTCCGTGGTCACTGCTTCTGACCCACAGCTCCTCCAGCGGGGCCTCCGGGCCGGGCCAGGCACGTGGCTCAGACCCTGCTCCCGAGAGGTTGGCGCCGCACTCCTCCGGCCCCGCCCTGGGCCCCGCCCCCGAGCGTCGACCACGCCCCCGGGCGCCCGGCCCCGCCCCCGGGTGCCCGGCCCCTGCCCCCGCGGCAGTCCCCTCTCATGGGAGGGCCACGAGAGGGCACCCAGGACAATGGCTCACACAAAGGAGCCTCTTCCAGGACACGGGCGGGGACCAGAAGGTGCCAGAACCCTTGAGAAACGTGGTCATCCCCTGAGCTCAAGCAGCCTGCCCCCGGGCCGGGTGACGGCGAGGTGCAGCGGGGGGCTCTGCTGTGCCCCTTGTCACCTGACCCTGGTGCTCCAGGGAGGGGCAGCCCTCGGCCCCCTGAGAGCGGGACCCTCCTCCGTGACCTGGCAGCTGTGGGAAGGGCCTGAGGCTCGCCATCCAGTGCGGACCTGAGCCCGTGATGTGGCCCTCGTGTGCACGCATGCGCCCGGACCGGGGGTGGCCTCAGGTGGAAGAGGCAGCGCGCGCCCGGGTGTGGGCCGGCCAGATGGAAGGAGAGGCGGACACGCGTGTGCATGACTCGGGACGTTTATGGCCCCTGTGGCCCTGGGACGGCAGGCAAAGGGGCAGGGTCCTGCGGGTCTAACTGTGGGTGGGAGTGGGAGCTGGACCACAGGAGCGTCCTTGCCGGCAGCAAGTGGTCCTCCCCTGGGCGCCGAGTTGGGGAGATGGTGTGGAGGTCCCTTCCCCTGCGAGGTCTCTGTGGCCACGCTGCTACTCCAGGGCTGTGAAGGAGGACGGGCAGGGACAGAGGAGGCCATCAGCCAGGTGAGGGACTGCAGCCCCTGTGCCCACCCCTCCCTTTGCTCTCCCATCCCGGCCTCCCAGCCCCCCAGCCTCCAGCGGTCAGCCTCCGCCAGTGTCAGGTTCAGGAAGGTGGCGTTGGTCCTCGAGCGAGGGAGGGAGGTGGACTGTGAGGAGAGAGACAGGGTGAAAGGAGATGCCAGGGCTCGGGGGCCCGTCCTGGATCAGCAGTCCCCGCTGACTCAGGACCAGGGCTCGGGAAGCGAATGGGCAAAGGTGCAGAGGAGTGTCTGGCCGTTCAGGGGCCCCGATCCTGGAAGCCCCCATTCTGAGGGCGGCAAAACCATCGCTGGCCCTGGCACGGGACTCCTGAGACCCAGCCTGATGGGGAGGCAAGACTCCGTACTCAGGAAATGACCTCATTCCCACTGCCTGATTGCGCCTCGTCCAATGCACCTGCCTGAGTGACATAAGTCTCTTAGATCTCTGGAAATGTCCAGCTTGATGGGAGAAAGTTGGTCCCTGATCTGAGAGCTCCCAGTCTGATGGAGGAGACATGGTGCCTGATCTGGGAACTCTCAGGCTGATGGAGGAGACATGGTCCTTGATCTGGGAGCTCCCAGGCTGATGGAGGAGACAAATCCCTCCCCTAGAAGCCTCTGTTCTAATAGAGATCACCCTTGGGTCAGATTGAGAAATTAACTTCACTGTGTGATGGTAGGAATCTTGTCCTGGCCCTCGTTTCAAAAGAAAGGAAGAGAAGTGAGCCCGACCGTCCAGGACCTCAGGGTCTGCTGAGAGGCTGGCTGGCCCCCACTCTCTAGCTCGGGTCTGACGGGGAGTTGAAGGCCCAGCATTAGCCCATGGCCCTGATCTGGTGACCAGGCCATCTGTCCTCTGCCTTAGGTTCCACTCACAGGATAAAGAAGCCCCGCCCTCTGACTGTGCTCCTTTTTTAAAGAAAACCTTCGATCTGTTGTCCCTCTTCCATGAGCGAGAGGTCATGGAAGCCTTTTAGACTGAGACCGGTGTGATGGCGGAGGCCCCTCTTGTCCCCGTCTGGGCCATCGGGTCATCGGGTGGATGGGAGAGGAGAGAGCCCCACCTGGGGACTGCCCCTGGTCAGCTGGAGGAGTCCTGGTCCTTGGGAGGGTTTCCCAGCCTTGGGGGGAGGCCAAGGCGGTTCTGGCCCCGCGTGCGCCCCCCGCCCCCACACTCACGGGCCACCTGCAGCTCCACTTCCAACGTGTCCGTCTTGCCCTGCAGCGTGACGGTCTTGAGCATGTAGCGGCCGGCGTCGGTCAGGTTCAGCTTCTGCACCAGCAGCGAGCAGTTGGCGAAGCCCACCTCGCGGCCGCTGTGCGCCGGCCCCGCGATCCAGTTCCCCGAGGGCAGCTGGCTGAGCAGCCGGTTGGGCTCGGAGGCGGGCCCGCGGTACCAGGCGTACACCAGCAGGTCCTTGGGGTAGCCTTGCACCGTCAGCGTCACGTCCTGGCCCTCCGTCGGCGTGGCGGGCACAGGCACGATCATCATGGTGACTGCCGCCGCTGGGGAGAGAGGGGCCGGCTCAGCAGGACGGCGCCGGCCTGGGGTCCCTGCCCGCTAGCTCATCTGTGCCACCCTGGCTGGCTGGGTCCCCGCGTGGGTGCTGGGGGAAAGGGGACGAGGTGGTTGGTGTGGTGGTGGAAGCAGCTACTCTGTCCCGAGGGAGCAGTGTGTGTCCCCTATCAGAATAGGAATCTCCAGCCTCAGGGCAGGTGACAACCTGGAAGGCCCTGGGGACCGGCCCATGTCTCCTCCATCAGATTACTGGAACTTTCCAAAATCCAGGGGCCATGTCTCCCCTATGAGACTGGAAATTTCGGAATAGGGGTGCGTGTCTCCCATCAGATAGTTAGGAGTTGTGACCCTGACACGGCAGCTCTTCTGTCAGATCAAGAGACTCGAGAGTGGGGCTCCAGTCCCCCCATCAGACTGAAGGATTCTGGGGGAAGAGCCCGGACCTCCTTAATCAGGTCCCGGGCTGGGACCCTGTCTCCTCCATCAGATTGAGAAATGACAGATTGTTGGGGTGGGTCTTTCTAATGAGGTTGGGAACCCCTGAAGTTGGGGGGCATGCTTTTCCCCCTCAGATTAGAAGTTCCTAGAAAGTGGGGACCTGTACTCCCCCATCAGATTGGAAGTACCCCAAAGGTAGGAAATGTGCCTCCCCCATCAGACTGAGTTAAAAACAAACCAAAAACAAAAACCAGAGTCACATTTCCTCAAGACCATGTCCCCCACCAGAGTGGAAATTCTCCCAGACAGGGTCTCCTGCTTCTGACGGGCCTGACCGGATGCTCACTGAGAGTGGACGTCACATCCTCCCTGGCTACCGGGCAGCCCAGGGAGGATGAGGCCCGGCCTCCTCCGTTTGGCAGCTCCTTAAATCAGCGTGTGTGTGTGAGTGTGTGTGTGTGTGTGTGTGTGTGTGATGCTTTCATATTCTAGAACCATCTCCCCAAGGGTCCACGTCTGCGCCTCTGGCCAGCATCTCCCATAAGTAGGGAACAGCGGGGTCTTTTCCTCTCTCTCCTGGCCTCCGCCGCAGGGTCTCTGACAGTTTGGGAGGCCCTGGTGGGGTGCTGGATTCAGCGTACCTGCGCACCCCAGGCCCCCCCATGTCGGCCTGCACAGGCGGGGCTGGGGTGGGCCTCAGGCCATCTGGTCCACTCCCTGGTCTCCTGCCAAGACCAGCTGCCAACACCCCAGGCAGGGCGGGGCGTGAGGTCCACTTACCTCTGGGGCCGCCTCTCCTGCTCAGGGTAAAAGAGTAGCCACCTTGTTAGTGGGAGGGAAGGAGGAAGATGAAGGCAAGCACTGTCCCCACTGTCCCCAGGGGGATGATGGCCACTTAGGAAGGAACTGAGATGGAATTAATGAGGCCCCAATGTTAAAAGCCACCGTTCCCCGGGGGTAAACAGAGGTCCCCTGGGCAACCGGATGGCTCTGGAAACACCAGGTGCCTGCACAACCCAGCCCCCAGGTCATCTCAGGGCAGAGGCAAGAAGACAGCATCTCTGCTGTGATTTTCCACTTGCCAACCGCCTGGCCGTGACTTTCCTGCTGTGGGTGCCACCATCCGGGCCAGATGAGCATGTCATCTAGTTGGCAGCAAAGTCGTCCAGCTGTCTGGGTGGCTGAAGCCCTGAGCAACTGGTGACCAGCTTTGGAGCAGGGGCACCCTCTGAAGGGACCTCTGTATGGCCCCCCACTCTGCCACCCCACAGTGTGGGGACACGTGGCCCATTTCCCATCTCATCCCTCAAGGAGGAAGGTCTGATTTGTCATCTGTTTTCCAGGTGACAGGCACCTGGATGACAAAGGGGGGCCATGAGTGGGCTGGAAGTCCACCTTCCAATGACGAGGGTCTGCCCCTCCAGGCCAGCCGGGCCCCCGAGGGGGGGCAGGTGGTGGCCAGGCTGGGGACGACTCACCAGAGAGCCTGACCACCACGGAGGCAGAGCCGGACAGCAGGGTCTTGGGGTTCTTGGCAATGCACGTGTACGTGCCCTCCTGGGCCGACGTCATGCTGCTGATGTCAAGGTGGTCCGGGCCCTCCTGCAGGGCCCGCCCGTTGAAGGCCCACACGTACTCGGGCTCTGGACAGGACCGGGCCACGCAGCGCAGGGTGAGCGAGGTGTTGAAATCCAGCCTGATGGTGCAGCCCGTGCGGGTGGTGGAGTCCTGGAGGATGGCCACGCGCTCGGGGCCAACTGCGGGCAGGAGGGAGACGGGGCAGTAGAGAGGCACAGAGGCGGGCAGCCAGGGGTCCTCTCCACCAGGCTGGGTCCCTGGGGCTACCTGGGCCAAGTGGTGGGAAGAAAAGAGCTCGGGTCTTTTCAAGTCCCACCTTGATGTCTAACTTGCTCTAGGATCTTGGGAATCATGTCCCCTCCCGGGGGAATCTAGTTTTTCCCTTTGTGAAACAGGGTTGGAGCCAGCGACACTTCAGGGCAGGTTGAAATCCGTGGTTTGTTAAATAAAGAAAAAGTCTAAGTGGTTGTTTTTCCTGCCATTCTAAGCATCTAGAATTCTAAGGCTTCGAGAGTCGAAGCTTCTAGGTACTAAGATTCTAGAAAACTAGGTCACTGAGGTTCTAGATGCTAAGATTTTAGAACCAGATTCTAAGAGTCTAAGCATCTCTGCTGCTAGGTTTCTAGAATTCTCAGAGTCTAGAGCCCAGGGCTTCTGAAATTGAGAGCTCTCTGGTCGGAGGCTTCTAGGATTCTAGGCTTGATTTTTCTAGACCACGGTCTTGTGCACCTCAGTGATTTCCCAGGGCTCCACGCTGCACATCTGCTGTCCTTGGGAATGACAGCTAGCTTTGGTCACGTGCCCCCCACCCCCTTCCCCCATTACTACCTCCCTGCTTTTCCCAGCCACATGAGTATTTTTTCTCTGCAGGATTTCTTCAAACTAAAGGATGACTCAGTGTCAAAGGTGTTCTGTAGGTTTTTTTTTTTTTTTTCTTTTCTTTGCTTGGTACTGGGGATTGAACCAGGGGCACTTAACCACTGAGCCACATCACCAGCCCTTTTTAATTTTTGAGACAGGGCCTCAATTAGTTGCCAAGGCTGGCCTCGAACTTGCGATCCTCCTGCCTCAGCCTCCCTAGCTGCTGGCATTACAGGCGGGCACCACTGTGCTGACTGCTTTGTTGTTCTCTAGGTGAGGGTCAAGTGCATTTTAAGAGGGACCCTGGTTCCTGACCCCAGCCTCCTGCTGACTTGCTGTGTGCCCCGGGGCTCCCTCTCCTGGCCTTGGTTTCCCCTTGTGCACACGGGGGTCGGGTCTCTGGGCGCCAGGGCACTCACAGTACACTGTCAGGTTGAGGGGTTCACTGCGGCTGGCGCTGACGGGGTTCCACACCTCACACTGGTAGGCCCCCGCCTCCTCCCTGCGGACGCCATGCCGGGTCAGCACCCGGCCATCAGGGGACAGGCCGAGGCGGACGGCGACGGGCAGGGTGTCCCCGTTGAAGAACCAGCGGGCCTCAGCTGCGCTGGGGCTGCTGCAGGCCAGGCGCAGGGTGTCCCTGTGCTCCACCAGCTCCGTGTTGTTGGCCGTGACCACGGGCGGGGCCAGGATCTCTGTGGGGGCGAGAGACGGGGAGGGGCGGGCACCACCTGCTCCCAGGGCTCGGCCCCAGACAGAGACGTGGCCGTGCCCCTGGGTCCCCACCAGAGGGGCGAAGGGTGGGTTTAGGAGACAGGTGTCATCCTGGAGGCCCTCCTGGGGGAGGCCAGCAGCTCAGTTATTTCAGGCTTTTTTTTCTCTAATAAAATTTTTTTCTAGAAGATTCTCTGTCCCCCAAAGGCGCGGGGAGGGGCGGGAGGCCGCGGGGCGCGCTGGGCTCTCACCATAGACCTGCACGTGTCCGTAGCCCACCTCGGTCTGCAGCTGCCGGTTAAGGGTCTGCAGGATGTAGGTCCCCGAGTGCCGGGGCAGGACGCCCCAGATGGCCAGGCTGCCGTCGGGGCGCACGGCCTCCCGCCCCGTGTGGGACGGCCCCGGGGTCTCGTCGCCTGTGCTCACGATGTAGCTGGCCACCAGGTAGCTCAGGCTGAGCGTGGGCCCCGCGTACCAGCTGTGGGCCAGCACGTCCCCCGAAAGCCCGCGGACCACCAGAGTGACGTTGTCCCCCTCGGCCGGCTGGGCGGGCTCGGGGCTGATGGAGATCTCGGCCCCTGCGCTCAGGATCCCCACTGAGGAGGAGAACAGAGGGTGGGGGCCGGCTCCACCCAGTCCCCCGTTTGCAGGGGAGCCGGCTCCGGGGCAGGGAGGGACCATCCCTGGCCTGAGGTCCTCGGGGCACACAAGGTCACACCAAGCCCGGATTGGAGCCTGCAGCCCTCTGACTTCCAGCACCTGGGCCTCCTGACCTTCCTCGGAGGCCATCTGCATGGACTCAGCCTCAACCCTCACATAGGAATATGAGGACTGGCCACCTTGTATACAGTGGGTGCTCCATAAAGATAGGCCCAGGTTGCCATCTCAGGGTACGTTGTGAGATTGAATTAGACCACGCCAAGGATCTAGCCTAAGTAAATAGCTGGTGCATAGCAAGGGCTCGGCCTAGCTGAGCTGGACCCAGAGAGCTTCCTGCTGCCAATGGCCTCTGGTAGACTCCAGGGGACCCCCTCCTCCAGCCCAGCTGTTTTATGACTCCAAGGGTTAGATGTGGGGGTCCTGATGTCCAGCCGGGGGCTCGTCCTCTTCCCCTCCCGCAGGGACGGTTAATCTACTCCACCTTGGTCCTTCTCAAGGACCAGGAGCCCCAAACCCCAAGAGCTGCTCAGGGATGCTTGGGTTTCATGTGTGGTGGCCTGAGGTGGGTGGCTGTGGCACTCCTCGTGAAGGAAATGCAGGCCAGGCCTGGTTCCAGACCTTGCCAGGTTGAGAGAACAAGGCTGGGGGCTGAGGAGCCCCGGGTCTGGCACACAGCTCTGCCACTTTGTGCTGTGTGTCCTTGGCTGGTGACTTTACCTCTCTGAGCCTCATTCTTCTCTGTGAGGTGGGGTCATGAGTGGGCCTCCCTCACAGAGGGCTTGTTAACAGTGGAAAGCACTCAGGACAGGTATCCAGTAAGTGCTCATCCATGCTGCCTATAGGGACCTTCTAGTGAGTCTGTCACTTAGACCCATTTCACCCGTGGGTGACTGAGGCTGAGATGCTGACCCAAAGCTACCTCTTCAGGGCAGAGCTGCTGGCCAGAGCCGGACGGTCAAGGCTTCCACCGCTCATGTGGATGAAAGATGATGGTGGCCCCTTGTCCCGGGTCATGCTCTGGTCACAGGAACCTCAGAGCCCACCCGGGGACCTCCCTGGGAGGCTGTTCCTGGCCTGTCCCCCACTGGTGCCTCTGGAGGGGACAGACTGCCCGTGAGGCGGAGCTGCCCTCCCCTGGCTGGGGTCCCCTCCCAGGGACCTCCCAGGCTGGGGTCCCCTCCCCTCCCGAGGCCCGGGTCCCGGGTCCGGGGGTCCTGGGGCTGCCGTTCTCACTCACCGCTGAGGAGGAGCCAGCTGCATCCGGTCAGCGCCATCTCGCACCCCCGGCTGGGCCTTGGAGACGGTGGCCTTGGGGTCCCAGTGCTCCGGGCCCTTCCCGGTTGGGGCTGGGCTCCGTCTGCCGCCGGCCGGGGAGGGCTGGTGACTTGGAGCCGGGGGAGATCACCTGAATTTGGAGGGATCGAGTCTCCAAGGATCTGGGGCCCCGTTTGGGGACCAGGGTGGGTGTGGCGGGCACCGGCCAAGGGCCACGACCTGGCCAGGCCTCCTGGGGCCGCTGCCTCACCCTCTTCGTGCCAAAGGCCCCGGTTTGGTTCTGGGAGAAGAACCAGGTCACCGGGGAGGAGGGAGGAGGGACAGGGGAGACCTGAGGCAGCTCTTCCTGACCCCGGCCACGGCCTGCGGGTGGTTCTGGGGTGGCCACTGGCGAACGGGGACGGCCACTTCTCCAACCCTGGGGTCAAAATGGTCCTGCGAGGCGGGCACCGTTAGGATGCAGGTGGGAAGACGGAGGCCGGGGCTCGGAGCTGTCCAGGTCCCTGCAGGGAGAGGGGGTCGGAGGCCCGCTGGGTGGCCACGGTCACACGGGCTCCCCGGGCCTTTCTTCTCCTGGGCCTCCCACAAAGGGCTGGGAAACCCACATTCTTTCTCCTGCGCCCTCCGTCCCCATCTGCCCAGTGGGCCTCTGTGGAGGCTCTGGGCCTCCGCAGAGTCTTGGTCTGTCTCTGCCCTTACCTGAAGTGGGCTGGGTTGGCCTCTTGCTGAGTCCCCACTTTCTGAAAAACAGACATGGCATGGAGCCCACTTCAGGGTCGAGAGCTGTCATGGAGTGTCCCAAGGCAGAACTTCCACCAGGGCTTGGCACAACGGGGCCCCAGACAGAGGACAGATCAGTGGGACTGTTGTTAAAGGTACAGGATCCAGCAAGGCCCGATGGTGCACGCCTGTCATCCCAGTGACTCGGGAGGCTGAGGCAGGAGGATTGCAAGTTGGAGGCCAGCTTCAGCAACTTTGTGAGGCCCAAGCAATGTAGTGAGACCCTGTCTCAAAATAAAACATAGAAAGGACTGGGGATGTGTCCCTGGGTTAACTCCTCCTCAGTACCAGAAAAGAAAGAAAGAAAGACTCTTAACATTTTTTTCTTTTGAGACAGGATCTCTTTATGTTGCCTAGTCTGGCTCCAACTCCTGGGCTAAGCAATCCTCCCACCTCAGCCTCTGAAGTGCTTGGGACTGCAGGTATGTGCCCCACAACCCACCTGTGTCGTTTGACGTGAGGGATTTGAGCATTGTGGATTCTGGTGACTGAGGGGCTCAGAGACCCAGACCTCTTGGCGGTTGGTTCGAGGTGTGACTGTGTGACGTGCTCACAGAGTAAGTGCCCCGTAAATCACTGACCCATGGACTTCCCAGCTATTTAATGAGCACCTACTACCCACTGGCACTGCCCTAGGCTCCGGGGAGACCCCGGTGAAGACCACGGCAGAAACAGATCCCTGCCCTGGGCCCGGGGAGGGACCAACAAGGGAAGAGTAGAGTCTGCCCCACATCCGAGGGAAAGGGAGGCCGTGGGGGGGGGTCTGCCCTCTTACACTGGTTTGGGCAGCTGGCAGGCGTCCCCAGGGCCGCACGGTTGTTATCACTGTGTCTCAGTGGCTCTGGGCCTGCGTCTGGGCAGGGGCCATACCTGCGGCTCACGTGTCCCCGGGTGCTGTCCTCAGCTGCTCTTGCAGGGCTGGGCGCTGGTGGAGGGGAGGGGACCGAGGGAGGCCACGGGGAGGCGGCGAGGGGGAGTCCTGGCGCCTCCTGTCCCCAGTCCACCTGTGGCCTCACCTCACCTGCTCGGGACGGCCCTGCCATCACCCCAGTCCTGGGACCACGGCCCAGTGTCCTTCAGGATGCCCCCCCCCCCCATGTCCCCGGTGCCTCTCGCTCACCTCAGAGTGACCTCGTCTCTAACTGATCTTGAATCCTCCCAGAGGCGCTCTTCTCCCTGGTCCTCGTGGGAGGTGGCTGATGTCCCCTGTCCCCACTGCAGGGACGGAGGGGCCCGGTCCTCCCCCCTGAGGTGCCCACCCTGCTGACTGCTTCTGAAACCTCCCTCCCTCCCTGTGGCCCCCACCCAACCTCTCCCCATTCCCGGGTCCCCCGGCCATGCCCGGCTTCTTCTCCCTTCCACTCTTCCTCAGTCCCTGGCCCTGGCCTCGCCTCCTCCCATGTCCCCTCCATCTGGCAGACAAAGGCACATCCTAAAACAGAAACCTGCCCGTCCCTCCCCTGCTCAGAACCTGCTATGGCTCCCCAGTGCCCTCAGTGGAAAGTGACCTGTGAGGCTCTGCCTACCCACCCGACAGCCTCAGGGACCCCCTCTCCTGCCTGCTGGGACCCTGTGACGCCGTTGTTCTGTCTCACTGCCACTCCACCCAGCATGTTCTGCTCTGTTTCACTGTCTCCTCCTCCAGGAAGCCCTCCAGACTGCCCTATGGGGTCCCCCACCCCAGCCCTTATCACCTGATGTTCACTGTCTGGGGATGGTCTATGTGAACCTCAAGAAGACGGGCCTGGGCTGTCCCCAGAGTGTCCCCATCACTGCCCGGCACGTTGCCCAGTACAGAGCAGGGACTCAGAGACTGTTTGTGGAACCGGACACCAGGTGTGAGTGACAGCGAGAGGGAGACGAGTCTCCAGGGAGGCCCAGGCTTCCAGGGCCCTGCCACCTGACTGGGGCGGGCCACGAGGCTGGGCCAGGGAGCCGGGGGCAGGACTGGCTTCTGTCCAGACCCAGCCGTGGCCCCCAGCACCTGACGCACCCCAGGCCCTTCCCGTCTGCTGCTCACCTTCACGGTGCACCCGGTGCTCCCCACGTGAGACTGGGTCTCCGTTCAATCCAGAGCTGCAGTTTCTTGTGCACCTACTATGTGCCTGGCCCGGGGCTGAGCAGGAGCTAGAGCAGGAGGTTGTGAATAGGGGCTTTTGCCTCTCTGTGAGGTGGGTGGGAGGTTGTGACCTTGACTTCCTGGGGACTAGACCGTGATGACCCCTCACTGTCCTTCTTTTTGAGGACACATTTCTCTTTCTTTTTTTGGCACCAGGAATTGAGCCCAGGGGCACTTCATCACGGAGCCACATCCCCAGACCTGTTTTTCTTTTGTTTTTTTTGGGACAGGGTCTAAGTTCCTTCGGGCCTTGTAAGCTGCTGAGGCAGGCCTCCAACTTGCGATCCTCCTGCCTCAGCCTTTCTAGCTGCTGGGTTGGGTCTGGCTAGAACACTTCAAATTTCATCCGTGGCTGACACTTTTCTTTTGTTTGCTGGATCAGGTAGCGGACGGTGGTGGGACTGTGGATTTTTTTGTTGAGACCATTTCTCTCTCTCTCTCTCCATCTCTCTCTGTCTCTCTTATTTAAAAAGACAGAGCAGGGCTGGGGAGGTGGCTCAAGCGGTAGCGCGCTCGCCTGGCATGCGTGCGCCCGGGTTCGATCCTCAGCACCACATACAAACAAAGATGTTGTGTCCGCCGAAAACTAAAAAATAAATATTAAAATTCTCTCTCTCTCTCTCAAAAAAAAATAAAAAATAAAAAGACAGAGCAGGCTCCGCTTCTGGTGCCCAGACTGGTTCTCAGCGTCTGGCTCCAGTGATCCTCCTGCCTCAGCCTCCCTAGTGCAGGGACCACAGGCACGTGGTCCCTGGCAGTGACTTTGGGACCTTGTTGGCTTTCCTGTTAGCTCATCCCGCCCCCAACAGAAAACTCATCTTGTAGACAAGGGACCTGAGACTCAGGCCATCGCCTCCTGCCTCCCCATCCAGCTGCCTGGGGACAGTTGTGTGCCTTGTTTTGTAAGCTCTGGGTCCCCAGCCCTCTTATCTCAGCGGGGTCCTGAGTTCCGGGGGAGCTGGAGCCTCATCAAGCCCCCGCCCACCGCTGACTTCGTATTTGTTAGAAACCTGGACGTGGGCCTGGGTGGCAGGACCCTTGTCCCCTCTTCCCTGGGCAGCTGGGCTAATTGCTCCGTGTGAACCCGGCTGTCCCCGGCTTATCACATGGGCAGGTGCCCTGGTGTTTGCCCATGGATCTGTCCCCAGGGTGCGGCTTCCTGTACCTCCTGGCAAGGTCCTGGGGTTGGTCTGGGTTGGGGCCCCTGAAGCTGTTGGAGGAGAGAAGGAACCTCATGTCCCCCAGTCCCTCACCCTGGAGGGAGCACGGGGCTGCGGGCGCGGCGCAGGAGGGCAGGTGGGTGGGAGGAGCCAGCCTCGGACCTCTGCCCGCCCTGGGCCGCCGGGGAATTTCCAAGTCATTCAATCAGTGAACAAATATTTATTGAGTGCTGTCCCCGTGCCAAGCTGTGGACACAGACATATCTCTGCCCTGGTGGGGCCAGACCCTATTGGCAGGAGATGGGCAGGAACGAGCTGATACAGCATGCATACAAGTGGAGATAAGTGCCACAGGAACAGAACAGAAAATTTAGCACGAGGACCGGGAGGGACGGGGAGGTGGGGGGGGGGGCTTTCTGGTCTGAGGTGTGAGGTGACAGGGAACCTGTAGATAGGAGAAAAATCTTTCCCCCCACCTTTTTAAAAACTAAGCCTAGACAGCATTTTGTTTTTACTCTTATTTTGTTTGAGATGGGGGGTCTCACTGAGTTGCCCGGGGTGGTCTCAAACTGGAGATCCTCCTGACTCAGCTTCCCAAGTGGCTGGGATTACAGGTGTGCACCCCCACAGGTGCACCAGGCTCTGGGGAGGAGTGATGGTAGATGGTAGAGCAGGTGCCAAGGCCCTGAGGCAGGAAATTCACTGAAGAATGTGGGGACAGTAAGGAGCCTGATGTGGCTGGAGCTGGGTCAGGGGGAGGGCCAGTGAGAGGAGGTGGTCGCCCAGGCACCAGCTGATCCGAAGAGGAGGACCTTGAATGCAGGATGGCCCTTGATTGATAGGTCCTTGACATTGTTTGGAGTCTGGGGATGAGAAGATCCAGCTGGGCTGAGGCCCTGAGGCCCAGAGGGAAGGGTCTGGGTCTGAGATGAGAGGTTCC